CGGGAGGCAAATCAGTCCCACCCCCACCTTTTTTTTTTTTTTTTTTTTTTCCTCCTCCTCCTCCTCCAGCTACAAACACACTTCTTTTTTAGGGGAGGCTGGAGCCCCGGGGAGGGGGGGGCGACTCCCAGCCCCGCCACGGGCGGGGGGCTCGGAGGGAGAAGGCGGCCCAGGGCCCCCTCCCCGGTGCGGCGGCGGAAGGGGAGGCCGGGGGGGGGAAAAGGAGAGGGAGAAAGGAGAAGTGCGGCAGGAGAAGGAGGAAGCGCGGGGGAGGGGAAGGCGCGGGGCTGAGGGGGAGCCGAGCGAAGATGGCCCCGGGGTGGGGCCGGCCGGGGCTCGGCGGGCGGGAGGCGCCGCTCCGAGGGGACCCCCGCCCTCCTTCCCCTCGCACACACGGTTACCTGCCCTGCCGGCCGATGCTCATGAACCGGGCCGGTCCGTCCGCCGCCCGCGGTCCTGCCCGCGTCCCGCCGGCCTGGGGAAGGGAAGGGAAGGGGGGGCGGAGGAGGAGGCGGCGGAGGAGGAGCGGGGGGAGCCGCCCGCGCTGCGCCCGGCGGGTCCCGGGGAAGGCGGCAGAGCCGGGCGAGAAGGAGGGATCCGCGGCAAGGAAGGGGGGTGTCGCTGGGGCTCGGCTCCTCCTCAGCCCGCTCAGCTCCCCGCAGCCATCGGGCAGCGGCAGCCTGGGCGCGGCGAACCTCCCTCCTCCTCCTCCCTCCGCCCCGCCCGTGCTGCCCGCCCGGGAAACCCCGGCTCGGCTCCCGCCCCGCCCCGGCCCCGCCGCCCCTCTCGCCGAAGCCTCTCACCGGAGGCTCCGCCGGCCCCGCTCAGCCCCCGGCGCGTTCCCTCCAGCCGAGCCTCTCACCGGAGGCTCCGCCGCCTCCACCGGGCACCCGCCCAGCGCGGCCGGGGCGGGCGGTGCGCGCGCTCCCGGGCGCCTCGCGGTGTGTGTGTGTCTGTGTATGTGTGTATGTATGTATGTGTGTATGTATGTGTGTGTGTATGTATGTATGTGTGTGTCTGTGTATGTGTGTGTCTGTGTATGTGTGTGTGTGCGCGCGCGCGCTCCCGGCCGGGCAACGCCCTTCGGCCCCTCGGGCGGGGCGGCGGCCGCGCGCGCGCGCGCTCTCGCTCTGTCGCGCTCCCGCTTCCCGCCCTGCGCGCGCGCTCCCGCTTCCCGCCCTGCGCGCGCGCTCCCGCCCCCTCAGCGCGAACAAAGGGCGCGGGCGGGCGGAGCGAGGAGGGTTCGCGGCCGCCCCGCCGGCCCTGCAGGCCGGGGAGGGGGAAAAAAAAAAAAAAAAAAAAAAAAAAGGAGGCTGCGAGAGCCTCGTGGGTAACGAAAAAAAAAAAAAAAGGCACGGAACTGCCCCGCGGATGGTGGTGCGGGAGCAGAGGGGCTGGCACGGAGCGCAGGACGGGCACAGACACGGGGCCCCCTCACCGTGTGGAACGTGAGCGCTCGGGGCTGCCCGGGGTTCCCACAGGGGTGGGAAGGGAGGGCCACAGGCCTTCAAATGCTGCTCGCAGAGGGCTGGGAGGCAATAAATACCTTTGTATCCCATCCTGTGAGGGGAGGCTGTGTGAGTCGGGCCTGTTTAGTCCAGAGAAGAGAAGGCTGAGAGGGGATCTGAGCAATCCATACAAATATCTCCAAGGCGGGTGGTGCCGGAATCTGTTCAGTGGCGCCTAAGGGCAGGATGAGGAGCAATGGCCATAAACTAAAACACAACAAGTTCCACCTCAGCACGAGGCAGAACTTCTTTCCATGGAGGTGACCCCTTCTGGAGACATCCCAAACCCCCTGGATGTGTCCCTGTGTCCCCTGCTCCAGCTGATCCTGCCTGGGCAGAGGGGTTGGACTGGAGGATCTCCAAAGGTCCCTTCCAACCCCAACTATTCCACAATTCTGTGATCTTTCCCTGGGGAACTCGACGAGCGGCAATTCCGTAGCTTAGAACTTCTCTTTTCCCAGTGTTGGCAATAAAGGTGCTCTTGCAGCCAAAGCTTCCAGAGCCTTCTTTTCATATTCTCCTCACAACATCCACCACTGGTCTGGAAGGGTTTGCATGGAAGAGAAAGTAGAAAAAAATTAATTAGCATTAAAAGAAAAATTCAATTTCTGTCTTATAGACTGGGCCTCACATAAACCAGGCAGGAGAGATGTTTCCAAGATGGGATCATTTCACACCAGAACTCATATACTGAAACCCTAATTAATACTGAAAAGTAAGTATTAATACAATATTGCATCACTTTTCCTCCTCCAACAGGGTAAATCTGGGGTTTTTTTTTCCCCCTTATTTGTTTATACCTTGTTAAAGAGTTGACATTACCTGGCTGCTTTTCCTGCAAACTCTTCCCCTAGAAGATTCTTTGCTTCTTCAGAATTTAAGCCAAACTGTTCCTTGCTGTCATGCTTTCTGAAGGGAGGTGTGGTTACCTGTAATTAGTAAGGGAAAGAGCAGGTTTGCCAATTAAACTGCAGGAAAGTGGGTTGGCTATTGTTCAGGTTGTCTGTTATGAAAAACTATTAGATCCCGGTGTGGTTAAACCTTGGTTTTGCAATAATCAAATGTTTGTTTTTAAGTAACATTTATGATGCACCAAAGCTTTAATTTGTCACCCTGAGATTTACAAATAGCAAAACAAGAAGTTTCCTGACATTAGAATAAATTATTCTTGAGTTATTGTCCCAAATTGCTTGTATTCCATCAGTAACCGTGGGGAAATAATTTCTCTTCCACCCCTGAAAGAAATACATGTACATGTGCATTGTGGACAGGAATTATCCCACTAAAATCTGTGGAACCACATGTATGCAGAGGGGAATGTCAATGTTCTTGAGGCCAGAGATTCATCCAGCACTCCCATCTGGAAAGCACTGATTAAATCTCAGCGCTTAAGGAACACCACAAGTTAATTAGATATTTGCAAAGTTTTCTAGAGATTTCAAAAGCAGTTACACACAACATTTAAGTCATAAAATCTCAGGGAGATTTATAGGAGGCAAGTTGCATGATGTTTTTTTGTTTTTTTTTTTTTGGTTAGAGATTGCTTTTAGGCTTAGCAGAGATTGAAATACCCTCTTGGGAATACACCTCAATTTGTGAGGAAAAGAATGACCACTTGCTACATCAGGGAAAAAAAAATTATATACACAAAGGATTAAAAAAAAAAGGAAGAGAGGAAGAGAAAAATCCTTGTTTTGCAAAGGAAAATTCATGTGTCTTATCAGATTTTGTGGAAAATCTTTACCTAACACTGGATCATACAGAAAAAAAATCCGTGTAGTGAACAAAAATAACATTCTGAGGTTCATAACAAAGAGAAAATCACATTTTGTTACTTCTAGAAAGCAATGGCGTTGAGGTTTTGTTACTGGACTAGAAGAACTGCTGCGTGAATTAATTATATAATGAATTATGTCATTATAAAGTATACCATTAAAAACTAATGCATGCTTTTTTCTCATTGCACATTCTTTATCATACAAATACTTATTTCTGAGAGCTGACAGGTGTTTCTGCCCACAGGTCTGTGCTCTGCCATGTCCTCAAATCCGTGGAATTGGGGTAAGGACACTGAACTATCCGATGTGTTTCTCCCACACGTACACAGAGCTAATGCTTCCACCACACCTATCCTTTTGTAAAAATGTAACTGTTGCAACAGTTCCTGTTCCTGATGCAGTGACTCAGTTATATCTTGTTCTCCAGTGAAAATTTTGATTGATACACAGTTATCCTGCTATTATGGAGAGGGATTATGAGGACTGGAAGTGGTTGTTTACAGAGGGGAGGGTTGTTCCACGTGGGCTGGGTGGGGTTTGCTTTGCAAATCTCACTGGACAAATCAGTTTTGCTGCATTTTAAAATCTGTCAGAAGAACCTCACATTGCAGTGGTTTGTTCTGATGGCCTCACACAGCCCTGTGCTGTGCATTATCTTGATTTTTTTTTTAATTTCTTTTTAATTTTTAACCTTCCTTTTCTTGCACACAGGTCCATAAACTGCCCTGGTTTGTAGTTCAGTGGACATTTATTTCAGGTCACCAGAAATAAATGGACCTATTCATTGTATGACTTGCTCTGCTTCTGCATACTACAAAAATATTGTTTGTAACTAAAATTTTAGCTGAAAAGATCTGCTAAAACCTGAAGATCTAATATAGACAACTAACTGACAAACCCAAACATTCTGTTTTTTTGTTGGGCCACTTGGTAGCTGGTGTAGCCAAAGCAAATCAAAATAAATGTAACTCGCAGAATTTCACCAAACGGTGACATTTCTCAGACCTGGGGCTTCCACACAGGCCAGGACTAGGTCAGCTCACACCAAAATAGCAGTTTTTCTCCTGAAGCTTGGGTGAGATGTACAGAAGCTCTGTGAGCAGGTTGCTCCACAGTTCTCAATTGCAAAATTTCTTGCACCTTTTTCTCAATCAGCTGCTGTTATTAACCCCTTTGTAGGGAGCATCCTGACTGAGGTGAATCTTTAGGCAGTCCCACTTTATAAATTGTTTTTTTCCATGCAAATAGCATTGCTGCCATAAAAAAATTTACATATTTTTATTGTATTGCAATGTATTGCATGATTCTTATGGCAGCTCGAGATGCTCCTGGTCTCAGAAGGACTGTCACCATCAGGGTGTAAATTATGCTCTGTAAAAAAAAGGTGAAAGATCAGCAGTTCTCAAGATTGCATAGCTCCTCAGGTGGATTAAGAACACTGCTGAAGTAATAAATAATTATGTTTTTCCTCTTTCTTTCTCTGTTTGTGACTTCAGGTAAGTGTCTCTAATAGACTTACTCAAAATAATAATTCCGAGGACCAGCTCATATCCCAGAATCACACCAGCACTGTCTCCCCTTCCATAATAATTTGCCTGCCTGTGTATCCTTTGGTTGCTGTGGTGTGCATTCTGTTAAACCTGGAGAGATCCACAGAGACATTCCCAGGAGTTTGATCCAGTTTGAAGTTCTCCATTTGGTCCCAAAAGCAAGGCAGAGCCCTCCTTTCTCCCGACTTTCCACCCAAATTAGATGAAGTTTTTACAATGTTTGAATTTCAGCTTCCTTCCCGAGTCTGTTCAGAACTCTTTTTCTTAACTATCATTTTATTTTTCGAACCCTGGTCCAGAACTGCTCCAACCTGCTGTTATTTGCCAGGTCTTTAACAGCTGAGTGACAACCATGGCTGCTCCTTCCCGAGGAAGGACCCAGGTAGCAGAATATCAAGATTGTTCATTAAAGGAAATAAATCAGTAAAAGCACACTGAGCAGAAATGCTCAGTGAGGGCAGGCAGAGCAAAAAGTAGGAGTAGCTCAGTCTCCTTAGTTACATTCTGCATTCTCACAGTTTCTTTCGGTTTCCCTGTTATTATGGAACAAAAGAGTTATTTTAAACGACTTCTGAGAACATCGCATAAAATTAGCAAAACTGTTGGAGTCTGAGGAGAATATAATTGAGAGCGTTTTGAGGTGAGGGGAACTGGTTCTGGGAGGCTGCATGTAATTCAGGACACAAAGGCAGCAAAGTCCATACACCTGAGTTCCTAACTAATGATCATCAGGAAGATGATCCTGAACTTCTTACTTGTGCTGAGGATTGGGGTGGTTGATCTCAAGTGGGTTCAAGGACAGTAAGCTCAGAATTGCTGAGAGACTTTGCAAGTCACTCCACGGGAACTGAGGGACAATGACGTGAAATTACTGAGCCACTAACCCTGGGCAGCTTGTGGAAAGAAGGGAGATGAAATGCTGGGGTTGGTGGAACCTGGATCTGGTGTTCCTTGCAGTCAGCACCGTGATTTTATACTGTGCTAAATTCCTACAGCGTGGTACAAATATGCAGGTTTGTGACTGTCATGGTTTGAGACCCACAAAAATCCAATTTCCAAGTCCAAGCCCCCCTCCCACAATTCACTTCAGTGTGAGAGGGTTTTTCAGACATAACACAAGACTCAGTATGGGGGGGAAGGAAATTATATTACAATTACTATTTCCACAAATAAATACTATAATAGTGATCAATATGAATATTTGTTCAACAAAATGCAGAACTCTGCTGGGAGCCAGCTCTGTTCTGATTCTTTGTTCTTCATCTTCTAACCTTGAAACATATACAGGTGACTTAAGGTTGGTCTGAGCCTGTTTGTACACTTCCCAACCACCAATTCTCCTTTTTTCCCCTTTTCTTTATGCAAACCCATATTGGGAGAGCCAGAAGATTTGGGGTTTGGGTGGGGGGTTTTTTCCTGCAATCAGAATTGTATCAGAGCTCTCCTCCCTGTGCTGGTTCTTCTAGAACTCAGGTGTGTGTTATGGGTTTACATTTGGTGCTGTACCATTAAATTTGCAAGCTGTAGCTTGGCTTTTAAAAGTGCTCCTGGGAAATAATATGATGGCAACAATAACGTTATAATAATCTTAGAAATCAGGTTCTACAGTTCTGCAAACACACACGTGCACCCAGCCACCTGCACACGTGTAGGTCACCCTTTAAGTAATCTGGTAAGGAACATTTCAGTTGCATGGATGCTGATTAAGCAGTTGGAGTGAAAGCTTAAAGACTAATATTTCCCCATTTAAAGGGACTTTCCTCGAGGGGTTAATTGTCTTATTGAGCAACTAACAGAAAAACAACTGGCACCCAGGAGATGCTGAGTTCAGAATCCACCCTGAGAATTCAGCCTGGCTCCTGAACTTTCTGTGATGCCAAGCACACCAGAGCAGTGGTGAAGGTGAAACACCTTCAAACACAGAGAGGATTTGCTTACCTAGCTACGTGTCAGATTCCCAGAGAACATTCCTCCATCCCTGCCAGCAGCTTTGGAAAGCGGGTGCGTGTCCTGGGGAAGCTGCTCCCAAACCCTGGAATTACTGAGGAGAGCACTGGTCTGTGAGAGCCTTACCTGCAGCTGAGGGAGAGAAACCAGGCAACAAAAACTGCATTCATGAAGCAAAAATATTTAGGGTCAGGGGACTTGTACCACAGTCCCTGGAGAATCTCTGTTTAGTCAAAGCCTCATTGCAGTAAAGAAAAGGGATAAGGGGTCCTTAGAAAGTTCAGTGGTTATTAATTTAATTGCAATAGCTAGTAATGTAAGACTCAGTAATGGTTACATCCTGTACTCCAAGAGAAAGTATTTATTTGGGAAAATGTACTGGGACTGAGCAAAACACAGTTCAGAAGGAAAGAACTTGCAGCCAAGCTCGACACTCCTGGGGAAGTTCATGTCCCTTGAACAAGGAGAGGGTGGGTCATTCTGAGTTACAGAAAGAGAACTTTCATGGGACCTCTGGGATTCTGGCACAGCAAATATCCCAAATCCAGGACACTTGTCAGCAAAGATCCTGATTCTGCAAACCCCTTTCTTGTGAGCACCTGCTAGAAAGAACGTGCTTATTAAATTCATGTTTCCAAACAGCAAATACAGGACGAGAAAAGTTGGAATCTTTCTTGGGTATTTTCCAGGATGTGGAAATATCTGTGTGCGTTTCAGCCAGTGGGAAGTTTCTTGGGAAAAATTAATGTTTTAGTAATTAAACAGCATGAAAAACTGAGGTTTTATACAAAGACAATTAGACGTGCTGGAAACAATTAAGCCCCTCTACATGTATATTTTTGCTTAGTCAAGCCAAAACATTTATTGAAGAAGTAATTTTGATGGGAAATATTTTGATAAACCTTAAAACACAAGCAGGTTTGGACTAAGAAGTTCTAAAGGGTCAAGGAATACATTAAAAAATAGACATTCAAAGTAACATAAGCCACCCCCTTTCCCCAAGGGCCACATGTCACCATGAACGAGCACAAAACCTGGGGACAATTTCGAATAAGTGAACTTACAGCAGTATTTTGAACAGCTTAGATTACTGGGTAGTGCTTCAGAGAATAGATTTGTTTCCTCTGAATTTAATATTTTCGAACAGTAATTGAATGGTTTCATTTCTCCACATTCCTACCTTTTATTTAATTTTTTTTTCCCTATGGATTATGGGCTGCTGTCATAACGTACCTACAGATAATTTGCTTTGCAAAGGATTTAAAAAGAACACCTTAGAGAAAAAAACAACCTTGAGAAACAGGTCATATCAGTACCACCTTACAGTACTAGAAATATAATACACAAATGTGCTTCTCACCGTTTAAAACGTGAGCTCCTGTTTAGAGTTTCATTTAGTTTTATGATCAGATGAGTCCATTTCAATTCTTGCATCTCCCCATAGCTCCATATCGGGGTTTAAATCCTCGTAACAAACGCAATAGGAATAAAGATGAATGACATTTGCAGTACTTTTAATAAAACCTCTTTCCACTGCCAAAATTAATGTCGGGGTGGAAGCTAAAAGCACTCTGTGGTTTACCAGTATGGCCCAGTCAGCAGAACTGCATCCAGATACAGCATCCCCCTTTGGCACTGGTAATTGATGCTGCTCCTATTTATTATTTATTAATCTCCTGCTCACTGCAGCTCAGTGACCCTCCTGCTTTCTGCTCTCTGGTGTGAATAATGTGGGTGTTCAGCCCTCCCTGGTGCCCCAGGCCAGCCCTTGCACTGGGCACCGAGGTGACTGCCCTGGCTGTGCTTCCAGGTTGGATGTTTTTCCAGCCTGGTGGGAGGCTGGGCGCTGGGAACACGTGTCTCCCGGGAAAGCTGTCAGATGGGATCCAAGGGCACGCTCTGCCCTGGCTGGAGAGACAGGGGAGGTTATTTCCAGTAATGGCTTTGCTGAGCCTGTGCTGCAGCTAAACCCGGCTCTGGGCACTTGTGTGCAGCAGTGAGAGATCTTGGGAACAGAAACACTCCATCCAGGGGACTGACAGAGCTGTAGCTCCCTGCCTGTCCTCTTCCCAGCCCAGAATAGCCCGTGTTGTGGCTCGGGGGAAGGATGAGCTGTGCAGGCTCCCCCTCAGCTGCAGCTCCACGGGGACTGCTCCAGCTGTGCTGGGGACAGGGACAGGAGCAGGGGCTGCCTCTGCTCCTTTC